AGGGTTAAAAGATGGTTGGACCAAAGAAACCTCCAGATGGCTGTTGCCAAGACGGAGGCCGTGTTGATCACAAACTGCAGAGCATTCCGCCCCCGGTGATCCGACTGGGGGAGGAACTCATTGAATGGAAACGGCATATTACATACCTGGTGGTGGAAATTGATTCACGATTGAGCGTTGGACCTCATATTATAAAATCAGCAGGAAAAGCTGCAAAGCCTGGATCAAATCTCTCCAGAGAAATGCTGAACTCAGGAGGTCCCAGTGAAAGCAAATAAGGGTTAATTTCTGCCGTAGTGCACTCAAAAATCCTGTATACCGCCCCAGTGTGGGTAGATGCGCTAGCTAAAGAGTTCATTCGACGGAAATTCACACAGATGCAGAGAAGGATGGCTCTAAGGATAATCTCAGGATATCGCACGTTATCCGACAGTGCAGCCTTAGTACTGGCCAGTGTCCCCTCAGTGGACCTTTTAGCCCAGGAAAGGAGGACAATCTGAGGACGACAGCAGACAAACAACAAACCCTGTCAAAAAGAAAATTAGACAATATCAAAGCGGAATTGAGAAACCATCTCCTGCACCAGAGGCAAAACCGATGGGACCTGAGTACAAAGGTAGATGGACAAACAGCCTCGTCCCTAACATCAAGCATTGGACCAACAGGAATCATGGCACAATGGACTTCTACTTGACGCAAGCCATCTCAGGGCATGGGAACTTTCAATCATAACTATACAGATTTAAAATCGCTAAAAGCTCGATATGCGCACTATGACATGAAGAATACGACGACGCTATGCACACCATATATAGTTGCAAAGCTTGGGAGGAAGAAAGAAGAAACTGCTACAGCGAATTTGGACGGGAATTAACGCCTGCAAACTCATCTCAGACTATGCTGCAATCCAGAGACAACTGGAAAACAGTGCGAGACTTCGTGGCTCACATACTAAAACAGAAAGCCACTACTAAATGCAGAGAGAGCTAAAATACCATAGCGACCATCTGAAGAGGAAAGCTGGTGCTCTCAGACAATCTTCTGCGTGAAGTAATGACTCAACGACGGTTCCGCGCTGAAGGTACCACGGCCCATGTGAATCGAGGAGGTTAGGTTGTAGTTGAGATGCCACGCTGGAGAGTCCGACAGAACCTGACTTACCGGTATGCGTAACGCATTTCCCCCTCCTCGGCAAATAATAATAATGATAATAATAATAACAAACATCAGCAGGTTTTCGTTATCGATATATCAGTACCCAATACCCACAACATATCGGAAAAATACCAAGAGAAGATCCAGAATCTCAAGATCACGCCCATGAAGTCGCAACTCAGAGGAACTTCAGTAGACAACTGTGCCTATAATTATATCAGCTACAGGAGTGATCCCGAAAATGACATTTCGGGCACTGGAGTGTCTTCACTTGGATGCCAGGATTGTATGTAATATGCAAAAGTCAGTAATTTTGAATGCATGCCGTATTGTCAGAGGCCATCTGAACCTTCAGTAAAGCAACCACAAACATGGTCATCATTCCTGTGTGTGGTTGACATACCGACCAGTAGATACTGTGAATAATGTAAGATAACAATGACAATAATAATAATAATAATAATAATAATAATAATAATATAATAGTCTAACTGTAAAGTAGGTACAAGGAGTTTTGCACTTAGAACGAGGCTTTCCACATTTTGCAATAAACTAGGGGAATTAGCTAAAGAGGAAGAATATTTCACTGTATGTATTTTACTGAGAAAGGACTAATCTGATAAGGCAATGTACAAGAATACAAAAATTAAGAAGGGGTGAGAAAAGGATGCACATTATACCCTATTTTGTTCAACTTGTGTGTATTAAAGCAATGGATAAAATGGAATAGCAGTAATTACAGAACATGAAGAGATGTGCAATATCTTAAGTAAAATGAATAGAGTAATAATGAAGTAATTTCAAGTTAACGTAAACAGACAAAAAAATCCTCTGCAGCAAAATAATGAAATTGTAATGATAATACAAATGAAAAATGTAACACATTAATGAGTTATAGTATAAATGGTATAACTAAAAAGGATGGAAGAAGCAAGAAAGAAAAGGTAAGTTAAATCAAACATGCTTTCACTAACGAACAGCGGTGACCTGTAAGGTAGTGTCTGTGTGCCATGGCACCACCAACAAAAAGGAAGGAAAATAAAATTGTCACCACAGATATGTGTATAAAATAGTGTATTTCTTTATAGTAATTCATTTGAATGAGCGCTTGGTACTTTACTATCAATACTTTCTTCAAACGCACAGGGCGTAATGCTGTCTTTCAGCCTTCTTCTGAACCTTTGATCCACCTACAAAGTGCCACCGTCTCTGCACATTTAACTCTATATAAAGAACGCTGTATGGGTTTGTATGCGTCTCTTATGGGTGAAATAGTACCAGAGTGGAAGTGGCACAGTAGTTCATGTTCTGTTCCATGGAGTGCGTCAATTGCGCTATCTTCATCGACCAGACCATCTCCGCCGTGGGCGTAAGGCGAGCTCAGGAAGCTGTAACCACTTGAGATTAATGTAGCGCTCAGGCTTTTAGGCTGAGAATTTTTATTTGCTCTTATTATTTTTAGTGTGTTTTCAGTCTAACCTTTATTATAAATTAGTAAACACGATCACTAAAACATTAAATGTTGTTGTTCATGAATTTCATTTTAGAGCTTACTAAACCACTTTTAAAACATTGATTTTTTGAATCGATGCTTTATTAACATCCATGTTATAATTTTGAGCATACATAATTGGTAACATCGATGTCGCATCACTAACTGGCACCACCAATAGAATTCCGTACCAGCCTCACTGAAAAATAAGTTTTTGACATCAAATAATTTGTGCACTGATGTGAAAGTCGAACCTAATAAAAATATATATGTGGAGCATTGCATTGTATGAAAAAGAAAATGTAAATTGTAAATTTGAAGAGAGGACAAACAAGAGACTGCTAACTTTTGAATTATGGTGCAACAGGAGGATATTTAAGATGATCTGGAGAGGTAGGATTACAAACAGAGAAGATCTGTTTAGGAGAACCAAAGAGGAAAGAAACTTTTTGAAATACTTAATAAGAAGAACAAAAATCAAAAGCTACATAGCCTATCCTAGCACGATAAGAGTAAGCAACAGTGTTCGAAGGACAGGTTGAAGGGAGTTAGTCACAGAATGATAATATTGACATTTAAACAGAACAATATATAATGTGAGGTCATAGAGCTGTTCTTTTAATATTTTTTTCGTCGCGAATTGGCCTTTCTATAGATCACGCGAACGTGCAGTTATAGCCACCGAGGTCCAGTCATATGTTTTCCAGCGCGTTTGCTCGTGAAACATTTTTAGGGGGTTCAGCATTTCTGCTGTATGGGGTATGGAAGATGAAATTATGATTATGAGGGGTGAGAGAACGACACGCACATACAAACACAAATACATCAATACCCGGGACTCGAACCAGCGATTTCTACTGCCTTAACGATCTCGGCCATCCGACCGAGACATTATTGATAATTAAATGTGTTCAAAGAATTGTCACCCCAACTGGGACTGGTGTGGATAATATTTTCGGACGTAATTGCCTCTCCAATGAGGTGACAGGGTGGTAACAATTATCATGTCAGGCCCAGGAGTTTTCCAGTTGTTGATTTTACTGATGGCTCTTGTGATATCGTCGGTAGTACTCGTAAACTCTGTAGCATTCATTGATTTGAATTTTCGACATTGTCATTTCTAACTCTGGCAGTCATGATGCATTTTTATTGAAATCCTTCGGGTCAGACTATAACGTACTCCAGTATTCTTTAAATTTATATATTTCTTCTGTAGTTAGGGCTGTACTTTGGATGTCCTTATTTTCCTCCAGGCGCCTGAAGAAGTTCTCTCGGGTTCTGTGAAATTTGACATTGTCCTTCTTCCTTTTCTTCAGTTCATTGTATCGGTGGAGTCTACTTCCTCTTGATTTTACCTAAAAGTGTCTAATAAAGATTCATGATCCTGGGTTCTTTGTGTACCATTCAATTTTATGCCTGCCTTTGTTGCTAGGATGGTTCCTAACTACTCTCTTGGTTTGATTATTGTGAAGGTACTCTTTTATAATGTTAGCTTTGGATGCGAGTTCATTTACTTCTCCCACGGGTCGTTTTTTCCATGTTGGCATGAGATCACTTGTTTGTCTGTTCCTCTTATTATTTGGGTAATACGTCTTTTTGCCATTCAGCGCGATGACAGTAGCTGCTACACAATACATAGCGAGGTGTAGCTCCGTCAGGTCATCCAAGTTTTTAACATGTTCCTCCAATATATTATTCATCTTCTTTATTGTTTCCTTTGCTTTTTCAATGTTTTCCAGGACAGGGATGAATGGTCGGCTGGCTGGTTCTGAACCGCGGAAGTGTTCAATTAACAAAGTGCTGTTGAACATGTCTAATATCTTCGTATCGTGTTTATCGGTCTGGGGTGAAACACTGTAGCTATTTTGAAGGTCTTGTCCGGGTGGCTCTGTGCCTTGGCCAATTTCTTCTTGCTGGTGAAGTAGGCACCCGACTTCCCTTTTAATGTTTCCTAATTCTATCTCAGTTAAATAGCAGTGTATGATAATTTCCTTTCATCTGTCAGTTACATTCTGCTTAGTCATGTGTAGCTCTGGATGTTTTCTGCTACATTCGGCATGGAACAGGTGCCTACATCTTGGAAGCGGTTCGCCTTGCCAGTGATTTACGAAATAAAATGTACGTATTATATCTATTTTCATTTCCCGAGTCTATTTTATTCTCTCAGGGTGTTCTCTTTTACGAGCAGTTCTCTGAAAGGTACGGGACAATCCCGCAGAGATTGGGCCGCTTAGTTACATTGCCCGATCAGTGTTCTCTACGACCCTCTGTATAAACGTATAATTATACGTTTTGGTACGGAGGTCATTGCTGTGGGAGCTGACGCATTACCTCGTCTGGAGCAGCCCCGTTGCCGATGGTTTTCTTCTAGTCTTCACTGCAACATCCAGAATCTCTGGGAGATGGGCTGCAAACCCAGAGCCCAGGTGCTGATTTTGGTCCAGCCTGGGTATTTTAATTATATCTCCATATCTGGCGAGAGAGAACCTTGAGAAGGCGCCCGGATTATTATTATTATTATTATTATTATTATTATTATTATTATTATTATTATTACTATTCCTTTACTTCGCGACTAAAGATATGATGTGTCGGTTGAATCCAATACGTACTCCAGGTTGTAACCAGCATTCTAAGAAACAGATCCAAGGAGAGTCGGTCTCTCCCAGTGGCGGCTGGTGCCTCAAAAGATTAGAGGTTGTACCTCCGTCAAATGACGGAAATGAAATTTCCAAAATTCAAAATACGAATATATAATAAAAATGTAAGCAATTCCAATTAATTAAAACTAAGTTAAATAACAGTATATATTAAAACCCCACTTACATAACTTAATGCGACGTGTTCGTGCCAGGTATATTATACACCTCCCACGGTCGTGGTTCTAGCATTCGTTTCCACAAGGTTCGACTTCAGCACATTACAATTAACACTATTGCTCCAACACGTTTCACACAAATAAAATTATTTTATTTTGAAAATTTCACTGCCCTGGTATATTTTGTAGCAGAGATCTTTCCACACACATGCTACGGTCTGTAACTGCAGGAAGAAATATGCATCCACCGTAAGAGACTGAAAGGGACTTACTTCCAGAACGGCCAACTTTATACAAAGAATTCATCAAATGTACATTTTGAATCAAATCTAAAACCAAATGAAAACAAGTTGTCTAAATATCATAAATAATTCATTAATTGCCGTCAATAATTGAATTTCTATACTTTCAATAACCAGCGAAATTCATAAAATCGCGTTTCAGGGAGTCGGATGAAGACAGAATAGTATTCTCCTGAGACTCCGTCGCCGCCCAGCGCTGCACAGCGCCCCCCGTCTGGTTGCATCATCAAAAAAGGCCTTTGTTCACCGTGTTAAATCTAAAAGGCAAAGAGTAAATGCAGTAAACTCAGCAACATAGCTAAGAGCGTGGTGCAATATCTGGCCTGGTTTGTTTGCCTACCAGACACCGCCATTTGGTCGCTCTTTGGGTTGAAAATGATTTCATAACAAAATTGGTGCAATATCTAAAATAGTGAATGTCATTAAAAGGAAAATGAATTTTTTTGATTTCCTGGTGGCTCCCAGTGGCTTTGGAAGAGTATTGGCTAGTCCGAATAGTTGACTGAAACGAAAGAAAATAGAAAACTATTACGGGAAAGTCTGTGCCATTCTGTAGCACCACAAGTGGAGGGGCGGGGCCGGGCGTGGTAGGATGGGATGGAGTGGAGTGGGGCGGGGTGGGGCGTAAAGAGAAATGAGGCGATGGAGGCGGTGGCAGACACGAAGTAGGGGTTTCGTGGCGAAATGTTCCGTCAAAACAAACTGTCGGTACTATTGTCCATGTTCTTCTATAATATATATTTAAATGTATTATATTTCTTTCAGTTTTTAATGATTTACTTTAATTGAAATGTAAAATTAACACCTGTTCAGTTTTTTAATCCAAAACGAAATGCAAAACGATTATCCCCCAGTCAATTTTATGTTACTGAATTATTATCGAGAACCGTAAGTGAAATTGCGTAGCTCAGATTTTTGATGGAAAAACATTTTTACTACAAACTATACAAACTATTATGTGGAATTTGAAGAATGAACGACATCAGTATGGTTCCATGAGTCACCAACACTAGTGACGCCACTGATGTTACCTATTGTTCGGTTGCGAGCCTGGGTTGCGGCCTGCATTAGGGTTATGGTGACACCATGCATATCCACCCCGGGTGCCGCTGCGACATTGCTGTGGTCATTGCTACGCCACTAAGATAGTGATCAAATAATGTAAAGGATTTTATTTAAGGTTATAATTAGATTTCAATAATAAAAATTGTAGTATTTCAATGAGTGACATTAAGGTATTTGCTTCGTTCATTATTTTACTCACACATTTTTTTCAATGAAACTTATTATAAGATAGTTATTATAAGATAATATAGAGACAAGATATTTATAATAAGATACTTATTATAAGATACGACATATTTGACTTCATATACTACAAAAAACATTTTAAAAGATATCTTTCTCCATTCAGGTTTATACCAGAGTCGGCTCGTTGGCTAATGGCAGAGGGTCGCTCAGAAGAAGCAAAGGTAATTTTACAACATGCAGCAAAAGTGAATAAGGTTACGCTTCCAGACGATGTCATAAATAGAGCAATGAAATCAGATCAAATGGAGCAACAAGAATCTCTAAGCATCCTGCATATCCTTAAGCATCGCAACCTACGTTTAAGATCCCTAAATATATTTTTTAACTGGTAAGTTCAAATATTATCCAAAATATTTCTCTTAATTGTTCTATATTTCCCTAAAACTTCATCAGGCAATTCTTGAAACAGCCATTCTTTACAGCAAATTTTAAAAATCAAGACAATCAATCTGGATATTAAGAAAATTTAATTTACTGTGGTCCTATGAATAATATCAACACAATTACATAACTAGCCCCCTCGTGAAAAATCCTTGTAGTGCGACTGAATGGACATTACTGAGTTAATTACTTATGTGATTTTGTAAATATATTAAATGTGGATTGTGGATCAAAATTCGTCTTTTCTACAATAAAAATTGCCAAGACATTCGCACCATTACGCATACTATTCTTAATATATTTACAAAACCCTGTAAGTACACATTTATAAATTAACTCAGTAATATCTAGTCAGTCGCGCAACAAGAATTTTTCAAGTGGGGGCTACTTCTGTAGGTGTAGTGTTAACGGACCATGATGATGTTTTCTTATAAATAATGTGGAATTTAAAATTTATTTTTATTTGTTGATTTATAGTTCTTTATAAAAGATTCTTTTTAGATATTGAAATTATTTTGGTTTGAAAGTTATTGAAAACTTCCCGTATGTTTGTGAATATGTGTCATCAGTTTCTGGGGTAAAACAGAAGACTCAATCCACGCCCTTGTATGTGTCATTATCTTCATTACAATTTGGAATGTTTTTTTCCGATGTAAATTTTATTTACGTAAGCAATTAAGAAATTCTTAAAATCACGGTTCAATAGTAGGTTGACATTGTAAAACATTCTGCCGGTTAAAAACACGTGGAGTGATGATTAATAACGTTCAAGGCCGCTTTTACATCGATCGAGCACTCGAACGATAAGGAAATTTGGAAAAGGATTATTAAACAGGCCCAGACGATTTGAAATAGATTCAGAACAAATAGATTTTGAAAAAGTTTGCAATTTTTCGAAATTTTGAGTATTTTCTGCGTAAATTTGGGATGAAATATAGTAATTGTTTAATTTTCATTTAATTTTTCCCCCTCAAAAACGAATTCATTGTTTTTGATGAAATTTTGATCGTGGTTAGTCAGAAGGACGTTTAAAAAAATGGCGCAAGTCTCTTTTTGGTTGATAGCACTGATGTTTTGACTGTTGAAAACATTCAAAATGTTTTCGACGTCTTCCTACAATTACAATTATAGAGATGGACGGACAGACAGACAGACGGACAGACGGACGGACAGACAGGCAGACGGTCAGACAGATGGACAGACAGGCGGACAGTGAAAGACAGTCAGACGGATAGATGGACGGACGGAGAGACGGACAGAGAAACACAGACGGACGGACACGCGGACAGACAGACGGACGGGCAGACAGTCAGACAGATGGACAGAGGACAGACGGACAGACAGATGGACGGGCTGACGGACGGACAGACAGACGGATGAACTGACGGTCGAACAGACGGACGGACAGAGACGGACCGACAGACAGACGGACTAACTGATGGTCGGACAGACAGACGAACTGACGGACGGACGGATAGACAGACGTACCGACACACGGACGGACAGACGGACGGACGGGCAGACGTTTTGGAAAAAGAAACAATTTTTGAAAATTCAGTTTATAAAGACGAGTTAGGCCAGTATAAATAATACTTTTTTTTACTTTATTCGTAGAAGAAATTTTATAAAAATTGTAGCTGTTTTTATGGAAATTTTAAAAAGGTCTCTATCTTCATGTAAAGTACCCTACAATTTTAATGAATATTTTTTCAATATCGTAAACCTTAGACTCGAGGCAGATCGACCGACCCATTTTGAAAAAGTCTTATGTATGGTTTAGGCGCTACTGGTGTTCGCAGACGGACTAACAGAGATGGACGGACGAACGAATGTCTTTTAATAAACCACCTTTTCAGTATCAGGGGACCGCAAAACGTATTTCCGTTGAAATCTCGAATTCAATTTTCCACAGCATCACATAACTTTATCTTTGCAACCTATAATATACGTACTGTATACGTACTTATGCGAGAAAGTAAGAATATGAGCTTTTTCGAGTAATTTTGAAATATAGGCAATTTTTTAAAACTTTTTTTCTCAAACACCATTTCAAGTTTTTTCTTTAAATTTTCTCCTAACATGTATCATGAAACTGTGAAATTATTGGTGCTGGTTCTATTTTTGGCGAAATCTCATTTTTTCTAAAATTGCACCACGTTAACATTTAAAAACTACAAAATTAAAGATAGAAATTTTTGTCTCAAGGTCCGTTGGAAAAAATTAGTTCTATAAACATTTTTTTTAAAGATGCACTGTTTTTGAAAAGACAGGTAGTTTTTACTTGATTTATGTTTGAAATATATTTGCAATTTCTAAAAATAATCTTATAAACTGCTTAATTTTTTTCACGGATAGAGGAAAAGAAAAAGAATAGCTCTGGTCCCATTTTCGTTGAACTCTGAAATTTCGAAAATTTCAAATTTAAAAATAATACAAGAACGTATGTGCTGTTGAAACATCACTATTTTTTTCAAATGAAATTTGTTTTCCTCTTGTAATTAATTCTTTAGTTGTTACCAAGTACATTTTTTGAAAAGGTTAGTCGTTTTTGCACAATTTTGAGTGAAATATGGGCAATATAAAAAAATTCTATAAAACTGCTCTATTTTTCCCAATATAATGACGTGAACGCCATTTTCAAATATTCTTTGGATTATTCGAAAATACACAGTGTGTTTATTTTATATCTCGCGCGATAATGTTATTACAGTAGTTTTCTATAGGCTTTACAAGAGGGCATTTCTGAATACAGATCCTTCAAAATATTTCTTAGGAAGTTTCTCGAAAACTGAAAACTCTCCTGTGAAAATAAGCTCAAAATTGCGCATTTTCAGAAACGCTGAAACATATCTGAAAAATTGCTCCAAAATTTTCAATGAAAATTTGCGTTTAGATCCAGTTTGTACTCTTCTATTGTATATTTAAAATCATGTTTCAACTCTGTTGTTACGGAGTCGAAAAATTGATAAAATGTGAAGTTTTTCCTAGCCTGTAAAATACAGCAGGGGAAAAGCTGGAAAAATACGAAAAGTTAGCCAAGATACAAGAGAACAGTAAACAAACAAGTGGGAGAAATCTGTGCTATTCTGTAGATTTGTAATTTATTATAGTTTCTAACTCTCCATAACTTTATGTCTTAGAAGTTCAAGTGAATTCTATTCTTATGAGGTTTGTTATATGAATGGAATAAGCTTTAAATATTCTTATTCATAATGTTGAGTGAATAATTTTAACGCTCTTGCACTTACTAACGTAAGAAGAGAGAGTATTGTAATCGTGCCACGGAAACGGCGAATTTTCGACACAAAAACTCTTATTGCCGGGCCCTGGTAAGAAAAAAGTGGATAAATCCAATTGCTAAATATAGAAAATCCTCTTACTTGTGGTGTAGCCAGAATCCGTGATTTGTGCGTTCTTGATACCGAAATATCGATTGACGGCAAAACGTCTCCGTCCGTGTCTGTCTGTCCATCTGTGCACAACGCTAGCGCGTAACCGTTCAACCAATTTTCTCAAAAATTCAAATTCCCCGATCGTTGAGGGTGCATTCTATCCTTTATTGTTCTGTGATTTTACTTGAGAGAAAAATCTATCTTCAGTATTGTAGTTTCCCTATTCACTTAATTTAATGCCAGAAATATATTTTAATTTAAATTTCAAATAAAAATCTATTTTCACACATCCGTTACTTACGTGATAAAATGATACTTGAAGCATAAATAAGGCAGAAATTAATACATAACATTACATAACGATAACATATTGCGAGGAAGTAGGTGATGTTGTAGTACCAAGAGTTTTCTATTATCGTATTAAAAATCTTAAACATTAAAAAAGGCTGAGGCTTTTTGGCCTTTAGGCCGATGTTTTTCATGGTGATTTCGTGTCCTAATAGAGCATAAAATTACAATATGTTTTAATGGAAGGCCCTTAAACTTTTCGGAATAAAATATTTACGTATTTCAAAAGAGATGATATTTTTTTGACAAATTATTTAATTGCATATTTCTTTGCAGGTTTGCAGTTTGTTCGGTGTTCTATGGTCTCTCTTTAAACACTTCGAACCTGGGAGGGAATGATTACGTAAACTTTTTATTGTCTGGTTTAGTTGAAATTCCATCATACATAGTCCTAATGCTCACTCTCAATCGCCTTGGAAGAGTCCCAGTGCTTGGCAGCTCTGTGTTATTAGGAAGTTTGACAATGTTTGTAATCGCTGCAGCTCCCGAAGGTCAGAAATGTTCCTTTTAATTTGACTTTACTAATCAACGCAAGTATTAATATCCATTTTCCCCTAGATATGAGCTGGTTAACAGTAACAGCAGCAATGATCGGAAAATTTGCAGTTTCCTGTTCATTTGCCACAGATTTTATCTTCACTCTTGAAATGTTTCCAACAGTGATAAGAACAGCAGCAGTTGGAGCTGGGGCAACCTGTGCTCGTTTTGGAAGTCTCATTTCTCCATACATCAATATGTTGGTAAGTATTGTAACAAGAGGCATATCTATGGTATGACAGACCTGGCACGTGAGTAGCATGTGAGTGACGATGGTCTTCACATACAAGGGGCGCTATTTATAGTATTTATAGTATACCGCTAAAACAACTAAAAGGTAATTTGAAGTATTCTTACTCTATGCTAGCAATGGGTACCTGGATACTTAGATACGCCTCTGTTTGTAACAACGAAATGGAAATGGAATAATTGGCATTCTTTATTTCCTTATAATTATAAATATTTATTGTTTCCAGGACATGTATTGGAAGCCCCTTCCTTCTATCATATTTGGGATGTTTTTACTTGTAGCGGGTCTTACGGCATTTCTTCTACCTGAAACTTTAAATAAAGATCTCCCTGACACAATGGGTGATGGAGAAAAGTTAGGTATTGTCAACAAATCATTTCAAGAATCAACAACACAGCCAGAAGTACTACCAAATAATAACTAACATTACTGTTTGACATCTATGTTACCAATATTTACATTTGTCAAAAATGCAGTACATTAAAAGTGGTTCCTCTTTATGTGTATATTTTAGGTGTATAACATTCCTTGGAAAATACTTATTCGCAACTACATTAGGAAAGCAATATCTACATTTGTACATTTATTTTATTGAAACTATTGGGGACGTGCGGCATACGACGCTTTGCCTCCTCTTAGAGCTATTACTCAACAATTACCCAGATTTGAAAAAATGCATGGCATCATTTGAAGATTTACATTTGAATAACTTTATGTAGAAAACATTGAAGCCAAAAGAATCAATACGGTTGAAAAATAGCTTGAAAATTTGAGACATACCTTATAATTTCGAGGAGCAAGGATGCACTTAGATGTGTGGAATATGGCTGTAGGAAAGTTCTACATATTGCCTAATCGGAAAATGTTTAAAATGTTGCTTCATTGTTCCAAACAGTGTTTCATGTCGTTCAGTGTTATGTCAAAGGCGAATGAAATAAGGGAGGTTTACACATTCTTGAACAATACAATCACTATTCACTTTGTGAATATCACTATCCACTGTGTGTATTCCAAGAGAGCAACTGAAGATGTAATGTAATTTTTTTATTGGCCATAATATGTGCATGTATACTATAGGAAAATGTGACAAATAAATCATATTCATTAGTCTTTAAACACGTAATGAAGCACATATTCGTGTAATCAGTGAGTTTTTGTGAAATGACACATCTGTCAGAAGATTGCTAGACATTGCGTGTAAGTACACTCCCTATCGTTGAATTTAAAAACGCTCTTCGAACTTAAGAAATTGCTATAGGTTCTCTAACAATCTTTCACTCACATGTTTCCTAGAAGAAACTAGTGGTGCTACAACAGCACGTACTTTCTCACCCGTATTTTAACGCAAAATTATCCGAAAAGTTCTCAAATTTTCGAAAAGTGATGCATGATCTTATTTCAAAATCCATCTTTAAGGAACAGATATCATTATAGGAAAAAATATCTTTCATTAATATTTTAGTTGTTGGAAGACACCGAAAAAATTTGAACTTTTGCAATTTTAGAATAATCAGGGTTTTAACAAACATGAGACTGCACCATTCTCTTAAACATTCTCCGCACTATCTATCAAAATTTTATCAAAAACGATGGAGTCTTTTTTATTTGAAAAATGATCGAGGGGATTCATGTAAAGTACCCTCCAAAATTGAAATATCGTTTCCAGATTTCATGGGCCGTAGATCGGCCAGATCAATTGACTATTGATCACGTTTTGCCATAATTCAATTTTTCGGTTTCAAGGTCCCCAAAACTTTCTTGCTACAGCACGTGTTAGAGTATTTTTTGTAAGTGAAGCACCTGGATGTATCCATTTTTTCGTGATCAGGGCCCTGACAGAAGAGTTTCTCTGCTGAAAATTCTTCACGCAACATTACATAACTTTCTCTCTACCCCGTAAAAAATATTTACGGAAAAGCATTAAAAACTAATAAAAAGTATCACAGCACGAGCAGAGTTTAGCCTGCATTATTCTACATAATCAATACAATATGACACATTCCAACAAAACATTTTCAATACAAAAAATATCTATATACCGATCATAACCGGGCATTAATATAGCATCCCTAGGATGGGGAATTATAATAACTAAGGGTGAGATTTTGATAATACAAAACATCATCAAGATTGACCAATAAAATACTCTTAAAATGTTTTTGAAATGCCCTAAAAGCAAAGAAAAATTACGTAAATTGTTTATCAAAACAAATTCAGATGCGTAATTCAAGCTGTTACTGATGTACTTGCCGTGTCTGATCGAGGGGGCCCATGCCCCCTCCTCAAATAAACAGGTCTAGAGAAAAGAATTAAAATGGTGCAGGAAAAAACAGAAACGAACAAAAGAAAAAATGTAGAAACGTGTAAAATGTCTCGAAAAAAATAATCGAGCGTTCTTTACTTAGCTTTTAGTTACCAATGGGAATCCTGAATGTCACTGGGTTTCAGCCCAGTGGTACGTACACTGACCACCCCATCTAACCATCTAACACCCGCTCAGGCAGCTCGGAAGGGATGCAGAATGAATGCTCGTAATGAGATTTTATGATCTCAGGTAGCGGGATCTTTCGAGAGAGTGTACCCAAGACACAAATTAGGAAAAATCGCCGCGACGCCGGCCCTCACCTCCAGTTTCAATAATTATTTTTACCTTGCTCTTCGCTCGCACGGGTTCACAAACCTCCGCAAAAAACGTCCGCACCGTGGACTTTCGACCTTGGCCTATTTCGGGCCGCACCGTCGCCTCGCTCCTCTGCAAACCGACCGTCTGCGATGCCGTTCAAAGCGCTGTCTTCTTTCGCCCTCCACCAGATCCTGGATGAATCTGCTCCCAATTTGTCTTGCCAAGCACCACAACCAGAACCAGAACCCACCACCAGAACAGAGCATCAGACAGTCGTCTCTTCTTCTCTCTTCACCGCTCCTCTCGTGCGGCACGCCGACGCGTGTTACAAAGTTCGTACGCATGTTTAATAAACGGCGTATTTTGTCCTAGGCGTCCTCTATGATTCACTCTCGCTCCTGCAGCTAATTTGAACAGTTGTTCTACCGTCACACAGCAACTCAAGTGTTCACTTTTGCGGCCAGTATTCCGCCTCGTACTCATTACTTTACGAATCTCCACAGTCTATAATTTGCCCAGTTATATTCACAGTTCTAATGTGTAGATTCTCTTCTATCGCAAACAATTAGTTTCCTGTACACTCTCGCCAAGATGCCGACTATCACTTCTCACTCAGCTAATCGGGAACGCACAACCGACCTGACCGACGACTTTCTCAGGAAGAGTGTGCGGTCAGGTGCCCGGCCTCTTCTCGAGGGGTAATACCTCGTCACTACCCCTACCTAATGACCCCTCGCGCTCGCCATAAATTGTAAGTCCGGCAAGTGAGCTGCGGGCAGCAGACACTGAGCCGCTCTTTAGCACCTACAATAGCAGTGTGCATGCATGGCGGGGACGTGACTGGGCGGCACCGTAGCTGCGGACAGCAGACATGTGGCAGCAGGTATGTGGCGACCGTTCTCCAGAAACCTGAGACAGCTCATCTCTTTTTTACTCCGCTGGAGATGCGGTGCCACGGCGACTTCCATGTATTGGAGTGTGGCCAACGCAACCAGAAACAGTGTTGATGGAGTAAGGTCTCTCTCTAGGTGCCAAGCGAGTGATCGCGGGCCGCTGTGACATTTCGCGCAATTTCCGTGCATACGAAACAAAAGAATAAGGGTTCTTATATGTGCCTGTAGACAGCGGGGTTAATAAATACTTAAGAAGAGAAAGAAAATAAAAATAATATGAAGAAAAGAGAAGGAAATCTAATTAAAAGAAAAAGTAGAAGAGACTTGAGACATCTTTTGTGAAATCCTGTAGACTTTCTTAAGTGCTGGTAAATGTTTATATCAGAGAATGAAAAATATAACACCATGATCATTAGTCGTTTTGTAGCTCTAAATTCAATGATTTTTATAAAAAAGTATTACAATTTTTAATTTAAAACCATAAAGTATTCATTAAATAAAAAATAATATTTATATTTTGTTAAAAGCATTTTGTTAAAAATAATTTACCTTGTTTATAATTTATATTTTCTTTGTTTTTATATACATACGCACACAAATTCCCACCTCCCAATTCGTCTGTGGATCCACCCCTGATATTATTAATTTAATTAGGTTATTAGTATTAATTGTTTAACAAGTGTGTAAGATGTACTATGACTAACCGATAAACTAGTTGACATATGAATACAGATGGATATAAGCGTTTTTGCCAAATAATTATAGTATTCGTCAAGCGAATACACATTAACTATTTTTTTTTACGAGACTGCGCTGGCAACAGTGCGTTACTCAAGTAATAGCTTAGGACGTTTGAACGTTTTCAAGTAATAGCTGAGTTGTGAGGAACGCAGTAAATTCAATATTTCAATATTACGTAGCTGTTTACAATAACCCGAGAAAGTGTGTGCTGTTGTAGAACCACTAGTTTCCCAAATTATTTTTTCACCACAGTCCCAAATGTTTTAAGAGGTGGTATTCATGAATTCAATTAATATTCAATGTCGCATTAATTGTTCAAGTCGCTTTAGATTTATTTAGTGAAAAAGCAGTAAAAACTGTAAGTGACATATGGGGAAGAAGCTTTTACATTACATACAGATTGTCGATTTACAATGGAGAATTTTCCTGTGTCAGATCTCTGCGTTCGTGAACGAATTTTGAAATTATGATCCTCTTCGTTTCGGTTTGAGTACCCAGTTCCATTTCTTTTTACGCAGGTAAATCTACATATGCCTTATACCAGGGTTGCCTTTTATATTTCAGGATTAGAGAACAAAAACAAATATTAATCATCGAAAATCACTTTATTGTTTTTCAAAATATTCCCCATGAAGATATTCCTCGCAGATAGTGACTATAAAATCTAATATCTACTACTTAATTTGTAAGATGTGTTTACACTTCGCCGAGATATTGAAAAAATATATTATTCTACTTCTCTGCGTTTGTTTTCATGATATTCTTCCATACTCACCTTTCGCATCCCTAATATTCCTATAGATTATGTAATCATTCACAGAAGGTCGTAGTTGATTCAACGCCCTCAAATACGTCATTTACCTAAGTCGGAAACGAGGAAGGCCCTAGACCACTTCCCTGCGATACTCCGGTTACCCGATGATTTTACTCGTTCTGATATTACATTTGTAGGCGGCAGAATTGTAAACTACTGTTGCTTTGAAAATGAGCCAGAACACATAATCGAGAACGCACGAATAGTGCATAGTAGGGATAGTGCTAAATGTACTCTATGAGATGGAATGAACACCAGTTTTCTCTAATCTTTTGTTGTTTCAAAAATGTAATTTTTTGACTTGTCTCTCGCGTTGTTAATATATACATTAGCGGCTAGCTGTTCACATTATTATATTGATGAGTACATGTTCTTTAAATAATTCCATATAATGTTTTTCCAAATTCTACCGTTTTCGGTGAAAACTAGCTAAAATTTCTGCTTTTTCAGAAACACTCAAGCGTCATTTTCTCAAGACGCCTCCCAACTTTTCCTTTAACTTTCTCGAACGGATAATACTAATTACACTCTTTAATATGACGTAATATTCATTTTACGTTATTTTTTGTTTTTCAAAAAATTATTCAAAGGTACTTTTTTAAGATTTCACACGCTATTAATATGCACATTTCCAGCAATTTGTAAACAGTATTGTACTTGAGTGTTATAATGCTTCAAATTACTTCTAATGAAGTTTTTCGAAAACTCTAAAATTTTCGAGCACCAAATATAAAGAGCACCAAATTTCGAATTTACAGTAGCGCTTAAACCCCATTTTCTTAACAGCAGCTCCACATTTTTCAAAGAAAATTTGCCATTTTGTACGACGTTTTATTGTTCTTTTAATATCCTTAAATTAATATTTCCGTTCTACTATTAAAAACCGAAAAATTAAGAAAATTTCAAAAAATGAAAATGTACGGTGGGGTGGTGATAAGCAGGAAAGAACATGTTGCACATCCGAATAGCTAGCTGAGACCATAGGAAATAGTAAACCAATACGGGAAGTCTGTGCCATCCTGTAGCGCCACTAGTTTTACTTTCTCGCGTTTACTAACGTAAAGGCGACTGCACACATGCGGCATTCCGCGAATCTCGAGCAACCGCTCGCCGAATCCCGAGTAGAGTGGACGGGTTGCTTGCGATTCGCCGAATGTTCGGTATTCGCCCCACCCACCGCGTGTCGGTCTTTAGGACACATCAAAGAGAGCGAACATTTGCCGAACACATCAGTTGTTCTGGATGCGACGAGCTGCTCGGCGAATGCGGAATGAGTGGAGCCACTTTGAGAAGAGGAAATATTGTATTCGTGGCGCGGACAACCAGGAGGTTTCAACACAATAACTCTTCTTGCTTGGCCTTTGGTAACGAAAACGTGGATAAATCTAGTTTGAAAATATAGAAAAATATATCGTCTAGCACGTGGTATTACCAGAATTCATGTTTTGTGCGTATTACATACCGAAATATCGATTGCCGTCAATAGGTGCCCAACGCAAGCGCATAAACCGTTCTGCCGATTTTCTCCAAAATGATACATCCCAACCGTTCTCGTTTATATTGCCGCACTTGATATTTGAAACATATATTTTTATTTTGAAGAGTTATTTAAAATGAAGCCCCTCAGACATTTTTGACATTTTCAAAAAATGGTTCCACATTTTTTCTTTAAATTTTGTTGTCGAATAGTCCGAAGGACGTTTAAGAGAATGGTGCAGGTCTCATTAAAATCACCGATGTTTTGAAAATTGCAACAGAAAACTGCATAATTGAAGATCGAGATTTTGCTTCAGACAAAGTCTGTTGTACTAAATTAGCCTTTAAATAAAGTCATGTGCATGTGCAAAACGAATATTTTCCTACCGTTACCTAACCTTGCCAGAAATTGCAACTATGGTAATTTGAAGGATGGGTTTATTCGCGGCAGAATTGTGGTCGGTGTCGCAGACAAAAACTCAGCGAATAAATACAATTAGACGACACTCTAACCCTTCACAAAGCCGTAAAGATGAGAACACAATCTGAGGAGGTTAGAAAGCAAGTCGAAAGCCTTCAACTACCTACTGTAAATCGAATCGTAACACATAAAAGAAACGGCACTAACATTGGATTCACTGGCAGAGAGAAGAAATCTGTTGAGAAGCAAAACAAAAAACTTGATACGAACCCTAACCTCAATTCCAGACAGACGAATAACTGCCAATGGTGTGACCGTGAAAAGCACGAGCGCAAATCATGTCCGGCCAAAAATGCTATTTGTTATAAATGCGAAAACAAATGCCATTTCTCTAATAGCTACAGATCCAAGAAAAATCTGTGCACGACAACCAAAGATAAACTAGAACTAGACGTGTTACACATTGATGCCATTAACGACAGCGGGGATCCTGACGACGAACGGATGGCGATGATTCAAGTTAACGGGAAGAATATCCGGTTCAAAATCGACAAGGTAGTGACGTCACAGCACAGTGTGCCGGAGACCGACCATGGAATAAACCTGCAGGGAAGGTAACAGGCCCGGATAAAACAGAGTCGGAAGCCCAAAGAATTGAGCAGGCCTCGTTAACCTACAAGGTCAGGACCTTACATGGAGGTATCTACTACATCCATAACCTTCATCAGCCGCTATTGCGGAAATACGAAGGAATTAAACTAGGGTTGGTGAAGAGGATCGACGCGGTCTTCAAACATTACATTATTTCACTGGATGATGTAAAGTAGAAATTTCCCGAGTTATTTAACAGTATCGGGAAAATCCCTGGGATGTACAAATTGACGATAAAACCCGATGCAAAACCGGTCGCGGTGACTTCTCCTAGATGGAACTTTTTCAAAAGAAAATGCAGTAAGTGTTGAAAGACTGCGATGGTGTCGAGTGTCTGATGAACGTCGTGTGTGACGTGGTAAACGGATCTAGCAGAGAAGACCACAATGGGCGACTGGAAAAACTACTCTCCAGACTGAAAGAAGCCGGGATTACCCTGAACGAGAAGTTGTCCATCAGCGACACTTCTACTGACTCCCTAAGACACATTGTTGACGAAGCAGGAACTCGTAACCATCCAGATAAGGTGAAAGCGATTGTCAACATAGACGCACCCAACGACAAGAAGGGACTCAAGAGATGGATAGGCATGGTTAATTTTGTTATCGAAGGCACTTCCCGACAAGGCTACGATTCTGGCTCCTCTTCAAGCTTCATGCTGCTGAGAGAAGATACGGCCTTCGTGTGTGTGAGAACCTGGTCAGGAATAAGCCTTTGCAAAAGTGAAGTCTGTGTTGACTTCTGCCCGCGTTCTGGCATTAATCGACCCCGAGAAGAAAAACTATAGTGACAGCGTCTATAATCGTCATACGGAATTGGAGGGGCGCTGCTACAGGTTCAAGAAGATGGAAGCATTAAACCCATTGCCTATACATCAAAACTACCATCGGACCCTGAGAAAGTACGCACAAATTGAAAAGGAGGCCCTAGCGATTACCTCCTCCTTTAAAAAATTTGCAGACTACATTACAGGCATCGAGATTAAGATTGAAACCGATCACAAACCCCTTATCCCGATCCTTACCACTAAGGCGCAAGACTGCAAAGGTATCGTATCCGTCTCATGCGTTTCGATTACACTGTTGTACATGTTCCAGGTAAAGTCTTGAAAAAAGCTGATACCCTATTTAGGCAACCAATAGTCCACACTGCGCGTGACGAACATGAAACCACAGATTCTCACGTGATTGGCGCGATTACACCCTCCAAGTATCATCTGCGAAACTGTCGGAAATTGTCAAGGAACAGAAGGAAGATGCTGAACTATCGGCGGTACGTGTCTACATCTGCAGTGGATGGCCCAAGAGAGAAGCTTTTCCGGACAACCTGAAGCCGTTCTGGGAGAAGAGATGGAACATCACGTGCCAAAACGAACTCTTGCTGTATGAATAGAGAATAATAATACCAAGCAAACTGCGAGCCAGTATGTTGGATAGGATACACGAGGGACATTTAGGTATCACGAAATGCAGAGCACGTGCAAATCAGGTCGTATTGGTGGTACAGAATGTCAAAACCAATTCAAGAGAAGGTAGACAATTGGGCTGTCTACACACAACACCGGACCAACCGACACGAACCTCTGGTCCAGATCGAACAGCCTAGTCGCCCTCGCAGAAATCTGGTATGGACCTATTTAATGTGAACAACGCGTGGTACCTCATCATCATCGACAGGTATTCAAATGTCAAATGTGAAAATTTGACAATGGAAACCATCATCGCAAAGATGTCTGAAATCTTCTGGAGGCAAGGTATTCCGGATGAGATTCTGACCGACAACGGGACGCAGTTCAACCCCTTTCGAGGATCCCCGATTTTCAAGTTTTAGGGAACTTGCTGGTGAGAAGTCCAGATGCCCACAATCCAACGGCCTCGCTGAAGCAGGGGTTAAAATAGTCAGGAAAATATTCAAAAAGAATAAAGACCCGTACAAAGGCCTCTTAACGTATCGTAACACTCCGTCGGAGAACTTTCAATGAATTGAAGATTGGACTTCCTACCAGTGGTTCCAATCAACTTGGAATCAAGGCTGGCAAACCAGGACGAAGTATCGGCAAAAGAAGATCGACGCAGAGCAAGAGTCCAGGAATATTACAATTCGTCAAAAGGTGTTAAACAGCTTCCAGAAACAGATTCCTGAGACCAAAGTCTATTAAAAATGCTAGAAATTCGGGACGGTGATACGAAGGGCCAAGGAACCTCGATCATGCATTATACAAACTGACACAAACCGAAACAGACGAAACAGATACACCATATTCCCACTAAAGCCAGAAGACACCGAAGAGATAAGCTCGTCACTGAGATCGACAACACCCATGAAGCGAGCATGCAACGGACCTCTTGTCGATACACCAGCGATGAGAACAGCCGATCAAGAATATGGACACCCGCCAGTGCAAGGTCAACGAATTCGGTCAGGACGTCTTTCAAAACCACCACGTCTCAACCTTTAGTCTCAAAAGAGGGGGATGTTGTATGATAGACAAAGGGCGCCACCTTGCGAGCGCACCAGAGACTACCGCGACGGCCTGACTGCAGGCCGCTCGACAGACGCTGGACGCACGAACGTGCTACGCTCGTCTCCTACTCACACTGTGTATTCCAAATTTCGCTAAATAAACGCCATTCCGATTGATTATCGTTTGTCGTTAATCATACAACAGTGCTAATATATAAAAGGCGGTTATAAATAACCATAATATTACAAATCGTAAAATATTAGTAATTTATTTAGTTTACATTGTGCATTAGTACATTACATATGGCACCAAAATTTTTCTTAATGGAACAAAATTTTTACTTTCTTGTTACCGCTTATGCAGTAGAGAGAAAAATCTGTAATGCTGGGTAAAAAGTGCGAATTTCTGGCAAAATCTGTTACTGCGGGGCCTTGAAAATAAAAAAGTAGAGGAATCCAGTTGCTTAAAAAAAATGTCCTCTAATACGGGTGTAGCTAGAATCCATGTTATGTGAGTCCTTGATACTGAAAAATCGATCGACGGAAAAACGTCCGTCCGTCGATGTCAGCTGTATGTGAACCAGATGTGAACACTGGTGAACCCTGAACAGAACAAGCGAGATCAAAATACGTACATATCACATGCAGGTAAGCCAACCTAAATACTAGAGTTGTTATACATATTTTTATATTATAAGTATAGGTGTTTAATGTAAAATGTAAATATCATCAAACAAATTAATAATAATGTTCGTATTTCCTTAATGTCCATACCTCCTCTTATATTTCAAATAAGATTTTTTTGACGCTTTGTTGGTTTTTGCAGCGCTACCTAGTGGGAAATGCTTAAAACCACCTGCCAACACTGGTGAGAATGTTCTTTGGAAAGTGGTCTCTGTTCGACGGAACCAGAGAGTAATATATTTGGCGGAACAGTGAGTAGCAAAGAGTAGATTGTAGGTACGATTTATGGAAGTGTCAGCAGTTGTCGGTAATAGTTAATAAACATTGACAGCGAGCTCAGAAATAAAACGATTTGTAACAGGATATAGAGAGATGGGTTGCAATGGACCCAAAATGAAAAGGAGTTTCATATGTCTATTATTCATTTGAACAATATAAGAAGTTTCGTATTAAAAAAAATGAATGTCAGCTGTCCTTTTACCAAAAAGTCCTTTTACCCCTTTGATGGTGTGGTAAGAACAAATATTCGATGAAAGTGACAATACTGAGAAGAACAAAATGGCATCATCGAACAGTGCTGTACAAGAAAATAGATTTAAAGTAGTCATAATAGGTGCTGGCATGGCAGGTTTATCAGCCGCCAACCATTTAATCAAGAATGGTGTGACGGATTTTAAAATTCTTGAAGCAAGAAATAGAATAGGAGGGAGGATTATATCTGTCAATATGGGTAAGATGTACATACCTTATATCCACTGCAATACCTAAGTGCTGCGTAAGCAAACAATAACCTTTAATTTCATGTTAGGTCACAATAAGGTGGAACTTGGAGCCAACTGGATTCATGGTGTATTGGGAAATCCCATGTATGAGTTAGCTATGGCAAATGGTTTAATTGACATTGTACAAGTACCAAAACCTCATCGAGTCATAGCTACTACTGAAGATGGAAAACAAATTCCATTTCAGACACTTCAAGTAGGTATTGAATGTAGACTCAACATTATATTTGAATTTTTGTATATTTTTCTTATTGTCTTGCTGTTCAAGGAAATTTATGAAGCCTACATTTGCTTTCTGCGACGATGTGAAGAGTATTTCCTTTGCCACTATTTGCCTCCTGCTGGAATTGTGAGTGTTGGTGAGCATATAAGGCTTGAATCTGCTTTATATTTGGACAGAACTGGTGAAACTGAAGATCGCCATATAAAACAACTCATATTTGACTGTCTCATGAAACGTGAAACTTGCATCACAGGCTGTCATTCAATGAATGAAATTGATTTGTTGGAACTTGGTAGCTACACAGAGCTTCAAGGAGGTAATATTGTACTTCCTGCTGGTTATAGTAGTATCTTGGAACCTGTTTCAAGGGACATTCCAGAAGACTGTATCTTGAAAAAACATCCAGTATCATGCATAAGATGGCATTATGGTAATGACTTCTTTGCATCATGTGTGGCAAGCCCTGGTGGGGATTCAGGAATAGATTTATTTCCAAATGGAGATCCTGGCAATGAGTCAGATGACTCTGACAAAACTGTTACTGAGGAATGTCCTTGGAGAGAATCTACTGGAGAAAGTGACGTGAAAGAAAATAATGATTTTGTGCCAGAAACAGGATCAAACAGTAAGAGTGAATCCACCTCATCAAAACAAAGTACCAAAACAGATGATCACTCAAACATTGATTCACATACATCATCAGACAATAAAGAAATGGCTGGAAATCGTGGAGATATTGTGGGAACTTCCCTTGTGGAAGGAGTAAGGTCAGCAAATCATAGTTCATCTCCTAATGTTCAAGTAGTTTGTGAAAATGGATCATGCTTTTATGCAGATCATGTTATTTGTACAATTCCATTGGGTGTTTTGAAAGCCAAAGTTTCATCTTTATTCTGTCCTCCATTACCTCAATTTAAAGTTGCTGCCATTGACAAATTATTGTTTGGTACTGTGGATAAAATTCTTCTTGAATATGATCGACCATTTCTCAATGCAGATATTTCAGAAGTAATGCTGTTATGGGAATCAGAAGGTGATAATAAAGGTACATTTTCCTTACGTTTTTTGTCAGTTATTCAGAAATCGAGATAGTATGCACATAGTGAAGTATTTTGCAGATATAAGTGAAAATTGGTATCGGAAAATATATTCGTTTTCAAAAATTTCTGAAACTTTATTATTGGGATGGATTTCTGGCAAAGAAGCAGAATATATGGAAACTTTATCTCATGAAGAAGTAGCAGAAAAATGCACAGAAATCCTGAGAAAGTTTTTGAATGATCCTTTCATCCCAAAACCAAAAACATGCATTTGGTAAGTAAATAATATTCCGTTTCAATGAAGATGTATAATTGCAATCTTGTAGATAAATTCTTTTAAAAATTATTTCATATATAATGAAAAATTAGATATAATTAACAGATTGCTAGTTAATTTCCTTTTAGGATCTCCACAGTTTAAAAATATTTGTTTACTATGATACTCCCACTTTTTCTTTTTTCCCTTCCGTCCCCTTATAGTGAAGACAGTAGAGAGAAAATCTGTTTTGCCTTGTTATAAGAATGACGGCAAAAAAAGAATGGTAGTATTTCATTTTATATCAATTTTTAAGGTTCATAGTATATAGTCGTAAGGATCATAGTAAATATCAATAGAGTTCAGCTAGCTCTACAGCAAAATATTTGTTTGAGAGTTTTTTGTCCAAAAGGAAATAGACCTCTGATATGTGGAAGAATTGAATATGTGATCAGTGTACGTTAATTGCCAAAATGAATACTTTTTTATTCATTAATACATCAACTAATTATTCATTTTCTTGATATTGTAATTAATAAGAGTTTTTTAAAATTGAAGTACAAGTTGGAGGAGTCAGTCTTTCACACAAGGATCATACACGGCAATGGCAGTTGGAGCAAGTCAGGCAGATATTGAGCGTATTGCACAACCTCTGTTCAGCAATCCCAGACAGAAGAAGGTAAATTTGATTCAAGAGATGCTCTTTCAAGTAGTATTGTTTTGATATCATCTGTAGATAATTAAACCCGCATTCACTGAAAACATTTTGTTCAAGACTTTCTAAGAAAAATCTTCAATTGTTTATGAAAAAAGTAGCAGAAGATGCACACAAAAAATTAAAGATACTAATAATGAACTAAAAGCAATGTGATGAATGTTTCAGCCCACACTTCTGTTTGCTGGTGAGCACACACACAGCAGTTTTTATTCAACTGTACATGGAGCATATCTCTCTGGTAGAGATGCAGCCCAGTCTCTTCTGGCTCCTGATTCTCCTCCTGAATTAGTTCTGGATTGTGAAGGAACATCTGATCTCAGTTCATGGGTTCAAGGCATTTCATTGGATTGAGAAACAATGATGCTTTGATTTCTTCCTTTTTATAGTGGCCAAGAAAAACATCATCTGTATTGTATGTTCACTTCTTATGTAAGGATGTACAGATGAATTGAAATGGTGCATATACTTATTAAGAACTTTGGTAAAAACATTGTCACTTTTCTAGTCACACCATGTCCTGTGCATACAGTTTCCTTAAATGGAGAGCACAAGTTTCAAACACTATGTAGATTGTGATGCATTATTTGAAATGCAGTATTTTTCTATTTTCAGTATGTCAAGTATTGTAGATGTGTATAATTTGAAAAGAAGTGTATTTAATTTAGCTGTAATGCCTTTGCGCTCTTGCTATTCATAAAATGAAATATTGAAAGACTGTTGAACATGTGACTGAAGATAAAGAACAGAGAGAGAGGTTTAAAACTGTATAGCACTGATTATTCATAATTATTTATTACTTTTCTTTATGGGAATAAATGTGTATTGTTTATTCCTACTTCTTCAGTACACTCATTCAGTTTTGAAAGGTTTTCTAATCTTTGTTGGGCCATAATAAATTGTTTTGATATGAATTTAAAATAAACAAAATGATTGTAAAAAAATTGCAACAAAAGTATTTTAAAATATTAATCAGTTTTTTGACTAAAACATATTATTAGCACAATTATATGGCTTTAAAATGACTTAATATGGCATTTTGCCCATAGTAAGACAGTGTATGTAGTAAGTCAATGTTTTTTAGACAGTTCAATAAATATATTTCACTCTTGTTAAATTGTGTAAACACAACAAACATTTGTAATTTGTTGTGCCATAGTATATCTTCATGATTAATAATTTACAATAATTTTTAGATGAAAGTTTGGAGTTTCTGGCTTTGGAGCTACTCCCACAGGCTTAAATTCTGTTAAAAAAAACAAGGTTTTCTTTCTGATCACTTCGAAACCAATGTAAAAATGTTATTCATTGTATTAGCAGCTATTGTAATTTAATCAGGACTATCTTGCCTTGTTAATATGATTATCAGCTTACCATGGTGTAATTATTTTGAGGTTTGACATGAAAGTGCCACTCTTATGTCAATGCAGCCACAGATGTCTAGTCTCATTTCTAAGCTTACTGTGTAAATATATTTAATGTATATTTGTGAATACTAAATATACCTATAATTGAAATCGCACTAATAATTAATTTTTGGGAGACTGCTTGAGGCATGTAAATAAATTCAAGCACCAAGAACTACATTTGGAAATAAGCAAAACCACCTTGAAGGACCCAATTTAGAGAAATAATGCAAATACATAACCCTATCTCGTACACTTAATACTGCGCAGACAATTTTGTTAAACTAACTTATTTATAGTAAACAGAAATTAAAACTTTGGAAATTTTTGGAGTCCATGTGCATTGGAAACAAGATTTAAAATGATCCAAGTGCCACAGTAGTCTCACACTCTTAACTTCAATTGTTCTTCAAAGAAAGATACATTTTCACTTTTGAAAAAGTGGCAAGATCATGAATCCAAACAAAGACATCATTTCGTTTTTATACTGACCATAACAGTTGACAGTCCAAATTACAAGTTTTTTACTTCTTTGTGTATGTACGTATATATACAGCGCAATATACATAGAAAAGAGAAAGTTATTTAATGCTGTGGAAAATTGATTTCTAGATTTCAACACAAGTACACATTTTGGGGTCACCTAATAACAAAACATGTTCACACTAGTGCCTAAACTATTCCTAGGAATTTTGCAAACAGGAATGTTCCCCATTCAAATTGCAGTGTCTACACAAAGCCCTGCAAATTTGATTATTTTTGTTTTAATTTGGGAAGTACCCTGGAACATTTTCAAAATTTTCTCAAAAATGGCTCTGAAGTTTTTCACTAAATTTCTTGTAAAAAATAGAGAAAAATACACTTGTAAAGATTTCATAATACCGACTTTTACTATTAACTCTAATTTTTATTTATTTTCAAACATTTTCCTACTACATCAATTCTGAAGTTAAAGATTTTGTCTTCGAATAAAATTTGCTCTCCATAATTAGTTCTTTAATTAATGTCATGTACATTCTTTTTGAAAATACTAATAGTTTTGGTGCAATTTTGAATGAAATAAGAGCAATCTTAGAAACAAGATTTTCTCAAAAAAATCTCTAAATTTTTTCTTTAAATATAGGTTTTCAGTGAAGCGAAATGAGTAACATGACATCAATGCCACTTTGATGTTTCTCTTGATTTCTCGACAATTTTATAAATCTAATTTACTTCTTAAATAGCTCTCATGGTGTTAATTTTTATATTACTGGCATATTTTATACATTATTGCATTGTGAGCTCCAGTGCTTCAAATGATTTCCTACGAAGTTTCCCAATAACTCATAAATTTTCTGTGAAAATTAGCTCAAAATTGCACCTTGGCAAAAGACCTGCGGTCCCATATGTTACTATAAATTTTTTCTTAAGGACCAGGTTTGTGCTTCTTTAATATTCTTAAATTTATACTTCAATTCTGCTATTAGGGGACCGAGAAACTCAGAAAATATAAAAAAATGTCTTTTAGGCATGAATACATAGTAGGAAAGAGGATGGGGCACTATTGAATCGCAATACAAGACTTAAAGATTTTAGAAAACTAAGAAATATGAGAAAGTCATTAGTAATCACTATACTGATGTATTTTATAATTTTCGAACAAATATAATTAAATGATCTCTTCAGAAACTTCTCAAAATCTTCAGTTTTTGTGTATACAAGCAACAGCACATTTTCCTTTGAGCAAATGCTGAGATGGCCCCTTGTTTTCTCCTGAACAGTAATATAACTTCGCTCTCTCCACCCAAGGCATCATATTGACTCGTCATACACGATTGTAATTGTATATATATGACTCAATAAATATTATTATTATTATTTCAGGAATGCTCAAATCTAACTTTTTATAAAATGATGACAAATTTTAATCTGAAAATTGACATGTGAAGCAAGGATTCTGTTATTATTTCCTAAAAGTTATTTTTCAATTTAACTATTAAAGAACCAAAAAATTTAAATTGAGAAAGTGTAAATATTCTGTGTTGCAATATGTCTTTAAACACTGTTTTCAACACTTTCTGTAAAGTTATTTCTTTTTGAAACAATTGTTACTTAATGAACTGTATGTTGATAGATATTTGCACTAATTAAGTTCATTTTACTTTTTCATATACGAAGTAATAAACTTAGGATGGAGAAAGAAGCTGTAGTGAGTAATTATTGCATTTTTACTCACAAATGCAATAATGTATAAAAAAAAACAAACATAATGTAGTGAGAGATTTTTTTTAAAATCACATTTGTATAATTTTTGGGAAATCAAATAAAAACATAAAAATTACTTTTATGTCACGTAATTCAGTGCTTTAGTACTATTTTTATTTTTAATTCATCCGTTATTGAGTAAACCTTACTTTGACTTTTTTAAATAACACCCATATTTCAAAATTCCATGAAATGTACTAATATTTTGAGAATAGTGTTTATGACTATAATTAAAGAACTAATTGATACTAGAATTTATTTAAACACGCACTTGACATAAATCAGTTGTTCACAGTTTCCTCCAATCGGGAGTTTGAACTTTCCCATAGTGATGTCAGTGTAACAACATAAAAGCTCCCGATTGTATGAAATTGCAACAGCTGATTTACGTCAAGAGCATGACTAAATAAATCGTACTGTAGAACAAATTTCATTGGATGAAATCTCTATCTTCAATAATGAAGATTTAGGAAAGGATTCAAGATATTACAAACCTGCAATTTTCAAACATTTTGACTTCACAGTGAAACACGAATCCCTGCCATTTTCATTCATGTATTTTTATTCTATTAAGAAATTTAAAGAATAATTTTGGAACTATTTTTGAGAAAATTTTGAAAATATAATATCATAAAAGGTATCACCAAAATTTAAAGAATGTTTTTCAAAATCGCAAGCCTTCCAGTCAGGCAAGATCGATCAGGGAATAGTCATTTTTGCAAAAACTCTACAAATAAGAGTAGAAGGCTCTGAAGTGCAGGCGAAGTGAGTTCAGTGTAGAGAACTAAAATGTTGAAATCTCTCAGCCAGTCAAGCTATACTAAGCCTGTCTTCATGATGGAATATTATTTTTTATTTTAATTATTTTATTTTGCTAGTTATTTACTTTGCTCACTCACTCACTTATTTATATATTTATTTTGGCAGACATAAGTGTACACAGCCCTATAACAAATTACATTTAGGATTTACATCTATTACACATGTATACAACTTGGCTCAATATTATCTCAAATATTTATTTATTTATTTTTACTTCACAAAGAGTTCACATATAATTGGAATAACACATGTATCTAATTTTTTTAGAACAAGAAATGGTTAATTCTTCAAAACATGTTATTAACAAAGATTTCTTATTATTTTTCTTATATAAGAAGAGTTTTGAAACTCAGTTTATCTTGGACAGAACATCAATCAAATAATTGTTTTTAAATTGAAGACATCTAGTCAAGTAATTCTTACATTAAAAGACTTGCCTTTCAAAGAGATTCTGCAAGAATTACATTGGTTGGTGTAGATTTTCTGTAGCCTAGTGCAATTCGTAACGACTTACATTGTATTCTTTCTAAATTTACCCAACTATTATTTGCAGACTTCTCCTTGCGAGTGTTTTACAGCTCTTGTGGCCGTTTCTCGCATCCCAATCTCCATACCACTCTATCGTTCCAGTCATTCTCTTCTCTGCACATTGTTAAAAATCTGTTTCTGCCATTCCTCTCTGGGTCTACCTCTTTTTCTTGTGTCTAAAGGAAACCACCCGCATACCTTTCAGGGCCATCTCCCACAATCAAACCTTTTCACGTGACCGAACCATTTCAGCCTTCGTGTTTCCAATTCATGTATTATTGATTTTTGAACCTTCATTCGCTTAAGAATTTCTTTGTTTCTAATACGTTCCTTTTTAGATACTCCACAACTTCTCAAAAAATCCATTTGTAGGCTCATTAATTTCTCTCTTTCTCTTTTCCTTATTTCCCATGTTTCTGCTGCATACAATGTCGAAAAGTCTTTTCTTGGTAGACTTGGATATTTCTTTTCCTCAGAGCTTGCCGTCCTTGTGTAATTTTTGAAGCAATATCTTTTCTGGAATCTTCTTCGCTAATAATTTCACCCAAATATTTAAATTCATGGCATGCTTCTATCTGATCTTCATTTATTGGTATACAATTTATTTTCTTCTCTCCCACTACCATATATTTTGTTTTGAGGAAATTGATCTTTAATCCTGTTTTTTTTGTATGTTTCTGCAAGCTTTTGCATCATATACTCCATGTCAAACTCATCATTGGACAAAATCACCTGATCATCAGCGAATAATAATGTATGAAGGCAATCTTCATCAATGTATATTCCCATACCTCGGCACATATTTTGCCATCCTTTTAGACTTTCTTGGAGGTAAATCTTAAACAAAGAGAGTGATAAACAACACCCTTGTCTCAGACCCTTTGTTTGTCCAAATGACTGTGAAACTTCATTTCCTACTTTTATTCTTGTTTCTTGATTCTCATACCAATCTTTTACTGCATTTATATATATTGGGCGCTGTTACCAACCTTTTCTAGAATTTGGAAGAGTTTACCTAATGGGACCATATCACAAGCTTTTTCTAAATCGATAAATACAAGGTAAGTCTCCCTATTCCTAGCACCTGATTTATTGTAAAGATGTTATCGATACAATTTCTACCAGCTGTTATCAATACAGCTTCTACCAGCTACCAGCTTCTACCCACTTTGCTCATCTTCTGTATTAAACTCCCTTCAATTCTCTGTTTTATAATTCGCCCATACAGTCTTCCTATAGATGAAGTTACACTTATACCTCTATAATTTTTGCACTCCAATTTTGGTCCTTTCTTGTGAATTGGTGTTAAAAAAGCTTGCTTCTATTCCCTAGGCAACTTTTCTCCTCGCAAACACTTATTAAAAATTATTTTTAGTATTTCTAATACATTCGTTGGAGCATTTTTCAATAGTTCTACAGGAATACCTCCAGGGCCAGGAGATTTACCATTTTTCATCTTTTTCATTGAGTTCTTTATCTCATTTACACTTATTTCTTCTACCTCATCAGCAGGTGTAATATCCAATTGTCTGTTAGTTTCTTTCAGAGCTTCCTTGAATTCGTGTCTATTCTTTTCAAACATATCTGAGTAATATTTAACCCATTCGTCCATTTTTATAATTTGTTAATTAGATGGTGTTTTATTGTCTTGTCTTAAACATTTTATAAGTCTCCATTATTCCTTGCTTTGTGTCCCACCTATGTTCTCTTCCACTTCTAAGCATTTTTTTATGCCACCATTCATCTTTTGATTTTTTTAACAGTTTTTTCACCTCTCTATTCAAACTCATATATTCTTTCCTGTTGTCCAGATTTTGGGTCGCAAGCCATTTTTCATAATATCTTCTTTACTCCTTTATCTTATTTTCTACTTCATTATTCCTCCAATATTGCCTAGGTTTTTCTTTACTCTCTTCCCCCAGAGCTTCAAATGCTGCTTCATGTATTGCTGCTTTTAGTTTTTCGTACGTACCATCAGTTGTCCCTTCAGGTTGTTCTCTTAATTTATTTGCCAATCTTTACTGATATAGAAATTTGATAGAGTTTTCATTCAATAGTTTTAGCTGATATTTAGGGTAAGTTATACTTTCTAATTCTTGTTTGTTATAATCATTTTTTAGCACTTGCTTTCTAAAGGGAAACTCATTGTACCCTTCAGTAAGTAATGATCAGAGCCACATTCTGCAGCTCTAAAACTCTTACATCCAATGCTTTAATGCAAGATGTCTGTCGCATAATTACGTACTACGTC